CCTTTCAGTCACTAGCAACTTAGGCTAACGATAGCAACTCCTCTCAACTTCACCTTATAACACAGCTCTTGCTCTTGTTCTCTGGGATGGTTACTGACTTGCCCTCTATTATTAACTTCCTACTACCAGCTACTCTATCTAGCAACTAGTGCCAGGGTTCTCTTTTAGGTTTCTTGCACTGCACTAGGCAGCATAGGAGCACATTAGCAGGACATTGCATCTGCCTTATAAGGACTCGCCTAGTATAGCTGAGCCTCTGTAGTCAGTGGAACCTGACATTGTCCATGGCCAGGCCCCATCTGCCTAGAGGTCTGCTGTTGGGAAGTCCACTTTCTGGAGATTGGCCAGCATTGTCTGGGGGAGGGCTCTGGGCCTAGCAAGGGAGAGGGGGTCTCCTAGAGGTCGGTGGTCCAAAGTAATTGTTGTTAGTAGAGGAGTTGGGTAGCAGGACTAGTAGGAGATGAGGAGGGTTATTAAAGAAGAGATATCAATGTTCTCTAGAGCCTGTGAGTTGATGCAGAGGAGCTAGGGCATTTTAGCAGGGTTGAGGGACATTTTGGAGAGCGTTTCCATAAGAAGCATGGAGGTCAAGGTGGGGAGGTCTGTTTCAGAGGGGGCTGTTGTAAGGAGTGGGTTCTTTGCTGGAGTTGCTGGGCTTGTTAATGTAGGAGAGAGTTTGGTTGTCATTGTCAATGCATGGAGAGGGCCTCTAAGTACAGGGCTTGGGAGTGATGGATTGGTCCCAGGTATAGAAGGTGCTGGGGACAAAGTTTGCTTAGGAGCAAGCAGAGAGAGCTAAGATATGGGTAGCAGGTTGGTCAAAAGGTCCTCCAGCAGAGTTGAGGTTCTTCAGAATATTGGATATAGCATTGAGCTCTTCTTGTTGATGGAGAATGGGGGGCAGAGTGTTGCTTCATGCTGTGGTGGATTCTCCTCATTGTATGTAGAAGGAGTAGGCAGGGTCTAGAAAATCTTCAAACTGATGGAGATTTGAGCTAATGTGAATTTCTTTGACCAGGGCATAGAGCTCATTCTGGAGATTGGTGTCAATTCCCAAGATGCCTTGCATAGTTTTGGGGAGGTTTCCTTGCAGATAGCATTTGTAAAAGTCAAGGAGGTGATCTGCTCAGACCTCTGAAGTTGCTGGGGTGTTGTGATAACCTAAGCTGACAAGGAGGGCATGAGCATGTCTTGCAAACTCTGTGAAGAAGAGATGGAGGGAGCAAAGGACTTTGTTGTACTGCTGCATGTAGGCTTCAACTCATTGCTGTCTAGAGGAAGGAAGGATTTGAGTGGGAAATGGCAGTTAAGAGGGGAATAGTTATCTGGTTGCTCCAGAGGAGTTGAGACCACAGTGGAGACGGGGTACATGTAGTAATGAGTGGATAGAAGGTAAGTGGCATTGGGTAGTGCTAAAGGTGCTCCAGAAAATCCTTTAGAGTACATGCAGGAATAATTGCCATCAGCAGGGAATGTTAGAGTGCAGTGCCAGCCCAGGGGTATTCTCTGGCTGATAGAGAGAGCATAGAAGGCCTGGTTTGGGTCTGGGGTTCAGTGATGAAGAATGTAGTGACCTGCAAGTGAGCCTGGATAGAGTGGGGCATACTGACTTCTAGAGACTAGCCAACTATAGATGTTGGTTAGGTAGCCAGCATAGTTGTATGCAGAGTTATACACAGACATTGAGAACAGAGTAAGGTGGAGTCTTGATATTATATCAGGTTCTACTGACCACAGGAGCTCAGCTTAACTGGGTGAGTCCTTACTAGGCAGACACAATGTTTTGCGCTTATAATCTAGCACTCTAAGGAGGGTTTGGACTTCAGATACTTGTAAGGAGGAGCTAGGAGGAGTGGTCTGAGCAAGTCCATGAGCAAGTCCAGGGTGGTCCAAGGAAGTCTAAGACTAAGTATATTACATGTAGGGTTTGGGTGAGCATCAGGTACAAGTTCATAAGCAAGTGTGTGGACTGTAGGGTAAGTGGAGGCTTTATAAGTGATGAGAGCAGAGCCAGAGTTTGAGGGAGGATCAATTAAATGTGATGGATTCTGGGGCTGAGCATAAGGCAAGGTCCAGGGTTCTTGTATGAATGTTTGAAGGGTCATAGCATATACACAGAGTTTGTAATAACATCAGAATTGAAAGGAACTTAAGAACAATAAAAAAAGCAGAGGTAGACAAGACAAGACAAAGTTGAGACAAGACAGAATGGAGAAAGAAATGGATTTGAGACTAAAGCTAGAAATATAGATGAGACCAGGAAACATAATAGAAAGAAACACAAAACACAGGAAACCAAGTAAAGCAATATCAAGTCTAAAGTAACAGATGCTATATCCCTTATATACTAACTACTGGACTTCCTCTTGGAACTAAGGGCACAATGGCAGGGCTCATTGGAGCTGTGCAGAGTTGTCAGTTGTCAGCTCTGATTGGAGAGTGGGCCACAGTGACATTCTGATGGTATCTAATGGGAATGCAGTCTATCCTGCAGTCATTGAGGAGCTCTGCATCTGCAGTAGTTGTGTGGATTGTGGGGGTGGTTTAGTAATATATGCCTAGGCCAGAAGAAGTGTCAAAGAGGTTCAGAGGCCTCATAGGTGAGAGAGAGAGCTGAGGAGGCCCATAGGAAATGTGCTGGGATTTGCCAGAAGGTTATCAGGGTTTGCCAAAGAAGTGTCAGAGTTAGCCAGCATAGGTGCCATAGGTTAACAAAGGCTGGAATGAGCTGGGGAAAGTTCTGGGGGGGTGGGGGTGTTCTGGGAGAAGGTTTTGAGGTCCAGGAGTGGGTCATGACACTAACCATGTCCTAAATGGTTTGCTTATATTGGGCTATTAGTAAGAGTACACTAACCTGTCCTTAACCTGTCCTAACCATAAGCCCAACCAGGTCCCAAAAAAGGCTTTAGCTAAAAGAACCTCAATTGTTTGGGCTAAGATTAAATTGTTTGAAAAACAAAGAAAACAGATGTCTGAAATTACAATAGCATTTGAATCTCAAAAAATCTAATAAATCCTTGGTCAAAGTCCAGCAACAACAGTTTGAGTGCTTTACATAAAGAAAGATTGGCATATCATTTGTAAGCACAAAAGTTCTAATACCTGCCATGATGATTTTGGCAACTCATACTAATTGTTCCCAAAATAAGCAGTGAAATATAAGATACTCTTACTTATCATGATTGTGTAATTGACTAGCTGGAATTTGAATGCCATTGTCTCCAAGGTTAAAAGGAGGTAAAACTAATGAAATGAGAGCACAACATGGAGGCTAACTAGCTGTATATTAGTCAGATATCATTTCCTTATGAAATCCATGCAACTGCATGGTACTATGATGCTGGTATGACCATTCAGAGCTTAAAACCTGATCAGCACCCATGATCTTTCCAATATCCAGTAGTAGGCTGCCCACAAAACAATACTGTAAGCTGCAAGGCATCTTTTATCCAACAATGTCCACACTATAGCAATAGTTTAGATTAGGACCTTGCCTCGCTCTAAACAACCTATATATTCCAAAAGCACTGTTTCCAGAGGGTGTTCAGGTTGAGACTGCAGCTGGAGTCAACAAAAACCCAGGTCTAGGATAATACAATCACTGATGGCTTCAATATCAATATTAATGACTTACTAAAAACAAGTTAATTTTGGGAAATGCTGCTACCTACAAAGTACAGAAAGCCTAGAACTGACTCTTGTACCACTTTCATATATGATCAATTACCTTCTTCAAAAGATGTGTGTAGTATGATTCAGCCTTCCAAACATGGTATCCCTTTTGTCAGCTTTATTACAGACATTTACAGTATCAAGAACACTAAAATATCTAGGAAAAGATCAAGTTCTGAGATATCTTAAGTATTCTTTTTATACTAACCTCAGCAGGTTGACAACCTACTGGTAGTCTGATATAAAACTTGTATTTTTATTATTCCAACTATGCCAACACAGGCCTATGGATTGACTACTATGGTATATAATGGTCTTGGCTCAGATGTAGAGCACAGAATGGGGGTCTAGCACTTTTGCACTTCTCATTTTCTCATCAATTACTCAAGTTTAGGACATCAGATCTGATATGGTAGGAAGTTTATAATCAAGTATTGTCTCAAAGTTGTCAGGCAGCCAAGATATCCATGTTGGTGAGTTGCAAGACTATCTAGTACTTACATGGCATAATTGCAACTTAACATCAATGAACAAGGTGTTCATTCAAAACAAAATAGGCCTTACTAATGATCAAGTATCACCATTCTTGGAAAAGAGGGCCAGCTCAAGGAGACAATGAGGCAACCACTGTAACTGTGACATACATGGAGGATGCATGTAGATGTATATCAGTATAACTATGTCTATGTTAGGACTTAAAATTCTAGAGATCTTCCATGAGGAGCCAGTCAGGTTAATGGAAGGTTTAGCAGTGATCCCAGAATTGTCAACAGCAGAGATTGCAATAGCATGAAGGATATTGTTTATGATAATTTGAATCTTGGATTGGACATGTTGTACACATAGTAGCCAATACTGCAGTATTCTGAATATTGAAATGAAAGTCTATGAGTGTTTGGCTTGTCAGGAGAAGGCCAAGAAAGAATCATACCCATTTCAAATCTAGCAAACTGAGCTCTAGTTGCAAGTGTCAAGTCTTGCAACTTGTCACTCCAAATGGACACAAACTTACCCTCATGGATAACAGATGCTAATAAGAAGGAAATTCCAACTGTAGATGACACTGGAATACAATGGGTCATTCAGTTGCAAAAATGGCATAAATCTGAAGGTAAAGGCCACTATAAGAGGATATGTGTTGAAAGCTTGAGGAAATATTAATTGCACATGCCAACAAGTCAAGACACTTGACAAGTGAGATGAAGATTATCAGATAATTAGGTAATAATTTGAGGACATCCAAGGGTGAAGAGAAATTAAGGGGGCCTGATTCGGGACACGGCCTTCCATAACGCCACCTGTATGCTTTACATTATTAACATGTAACCGCCCGTTTAGCTCAGTGGTAGAGCGCGCCACTCGTATATTTATGAGCTTATGGTGAGGTCAATCGTTCAATCCGGTTAGTGGGCAGATTTTTTCTCCTTGAATTCTTGACCAACTGCGTTAGAAGTAAGAGTTGTGCAGGTGTCGATGTTGGCTGGCACCACCCGTCATAAACTTGAGTAAGAGGGCACGACCCATTCTTGAAGACCCAAAAGCATCCTCTCATCTATTCCGTCCTAAGGACAGAGCCAGTGTGTATAAACTTCTTTGAGTTCGGCCGTGATCAGTTCAATGTAGATTTTACATTAATACACTATCAATACACTACTGTACATATTCTCTACGAAATAAACACCTTTCTCAGCATAGACAGCTCGCAAGTGGTCCCAGATCGGGGGCAAATGACCAGTCCGCTATTCTTTGATGCCATCTCTTCGAGGGCCTGTAGTGAGATAGTGTTACAAGACATTTAGGAATAACGAATGAGACATACTTCTCTGGAATATACGTTTCCATTTGGGAAGGCCATCGGTGGATTATCCTCATCCATGATCTTACCACTAATGCGACAGACAATTGTGGAGTTTGCGTGATGACTAAAGGGAACTTCCTGAGCAAGTTGAGCCAACCCAGGTCCCTGTGTTCCAGAACCTGCCTCGTCGTCGCAAACAGGACAATCTACATTTTTAGTGGATGGATCGTAGCAGGCTGGTAGTTTCAGTGATGCCAAACCGGCGTACAAACCGAGATGAAGCAGGGGCTCTGTGGGAAGAGTATTAAGAGAATATATCGCCGTGCGGAACGTGAGGATGAGGTTATGCCACCGAGAAGGATCGTAAAGCCGCTGTGACGACAATTTAACAACCGATCACTATAGCAGAGAAACGTGCATACGTACTTTGTATGGCGCACAAGTGGTGTTGGAAGAAAATGCTAATAATGCAGAGGCGGTGCGGATCTGTTGTAGGTGTGTTTCTTGCCAGCCAACTAAATGTTTCTTGGCGTATGCAATTGCTTCTTCGGATTTCCTGGCTCTCGATAGTTCTATGAATTCCTGGAGCCGTAAGTCGAATTCGAGCGGACTCTACGACGAATATTCAATCACAATCATGAATTCTCAGGGAATAGTCTATAACTCGCACCTTTATTTTCCGAAGCGCAACCTTGTTCTCGTTACACCATGCCAATGCTTCCATACAACTATGCTTAAGCAGAGCATCTTCAATCCGGCGGATATCCATGAAGAGGTCAATATCCACGAGAGTCTATGGTGAAGGTAACAGAAGTGAGGTCGATGTGATGCATATGCCCGAATCGGCATATCCTAATTCTTGACATACCTCAATGTTCTTGTCCCGAGCAATTCTTCTGGCAGTCTTCTCCATTCCCGACCTAAGACACCAATCAACTAACCATCGATCCAGCCTTGTGTCGGCCCAATCGCCATATTCAGATCCACCCGGGGTAGCGATAGTTTCAATAATCGTGAGATGATGTATACGCTCTCGCATGACGTCTTGAGTTGGCTTCCCTGCGGTTTCCTGAAGATCAGAAAGCTGCCGCCGATGCATAAGCCTCGACTCGGGTAGTGCGCAAGATCATACCTTGCTTTTCAGGCTATCCACCCTTCCAATCATATTATTGATAGAGTTCAGAGCTTCGTCTTTACCAAGTATTTCCTTCGATCTGCGTTGCATAAGCTCTGCGGAGCTGTTCTGAACAAACCCCAGATCCCGTTCGACGTTCTTCTGAGAAGTACGAAAAACCTTTCGGTAGTTTTCATAAGGAACCTGGTGATAGGCGCTTGAGCGGGCTACACCATCCCTACAATGATATCTCATGGACATACACGAGCAAATGGCTGCTCAAAGAGCAGTACTCCTTCGACATTCAATTTAGTGTTCATGCCAACGAAGAGAAGGAATCGAAAGGCCAAATGGTGCAGCGAGCTTCTCAAAGGTAGTGATGTAGCTTCTGTAGTAGCTATAGTTTGGCGAGAAAGCCCGCCCTGACCCCTGTAACTGCAAGTCTGGTTGAAAGCTAGAAACCGTCACCTTGTACATAACATATGTGACACTGACGACTGTTCGATCAATCACGTGGATCGGCAACTAAATGCGAGTTTGGCGAGTAGCCATTTCCCGTCTTCTTTTTACCTCTTCCTTGTCGTTTCTGGTACTAATAGTGGAGCTTTATCTTGTAGCGTATCATGGTAGCCCTGACTCGCCATTGTGATCTAGCAAAAAAGTCATCTATTCCGGGGAAGTCACGGACATCATTGCCGACGGTGACTTGGGGAGAGCTTCCGACATGGCAGAAAGATAACGAATATATTTTGACGGGATACAGGCGGTAAGAGGTCCTCGTTTTTTCTGATGATTTGTCTCAGGGCTCGGTAGGGCCCAGTATTCTTGGTCTGGATGCTTCCGATCTGTGTATGCATGTTGGTCTCCGTTTTCATCTTTTCTGAACATATCAGATTGACTTCTTGCAAGATTTACACAACGAAACAAGTTCGTGCCCCATTTTCTGTAGCGGTTCTTTGGCTCACCTGTGACTCATTGTAGTCAATATTCACAGTCATCTTTGGGGCGCTATACTATTCGTTTACCTCTTACTAGACTTCAATACCCACTCTCTTCCTGGATCGTCTTGGTTAGACACGGCTGTATTCTCTATTTTTCTGTGCTCCGCAGTGTTTTGTTTGTCAGCAAGTGCCTTCTACCACACAGTAGCTTGCCACTCAAAGAAGGTGCGCCTAAGTTCATGTTATCCAACACTTGACGCAGCTAAGCTAAAATCCCCGTTGACTTGCAGGTCTCTTCTTCGTGTCATGCGTTTGATTATTCTGGAATAATTGTCCTGACTGTCGGGTCATTTTACCCTTCTCTTTATTATGGCTTTCATTGTAAATACTTCCTTCGACTGTTTTACATGCTGTCCATTACAATAGTTGGGTTTGGTAAGTGGATATGATCATGATTAAGACCCAAGGTGTTCAGTCGTGATCATGTCACTTACTGTTGTGCTTGTATAGGTGCTGCATATATAGTTCTACACCCAGATTATGCCAAGCCGACCCACCGAGGAGCTCGAACAGTAGTCTTCATAGGCTTAGGGGCGTCCGCGGTCGTTCCAGTTACCCACTTACTTATAACGCACGGATCTATTCGACTATTAGTTGAGATGGGTTTTGGATGGCTATTGGTCTCAGGCTGCCTCTATATTTTCGGCGCGTTGCTTTAGTAGGTTCCCTTATTCTCACCCCGTTGCTTCCCTCCTCTCCATCAACTCCCTCTCATTCTATCAAAAATGAATTTCTTAGTTTAAACTTTTTGCAGTGCGAATCGCATCCCAGAACGTTTGGGCCCAGGTCAATTTGATTATTTTTTTGCGTCGCATCAGATTTTCCATTTTTTGGTCGTCCTGGCGGCATTTGCGCATTATACTGGGGCTTTGAAGGCCCTTTGTTATCGGTTGTCAGCGTCTACCATGTGCTGAGTTTGCATCAATCTGCTTCCGGCCCTCCGTCGAGTGCCATGATTCTCATCGGTAACAGCGGAGCTCAGAATATGGTGCGCCGAGGTACGTCTGAAGTGTCCTATCGAAATATGAATATGTTGTTCACTTCCAATCAGATTCACGGTGCGAAAGGAACACTTAGGGATCGTGGTTCTTAACATGTTTTCTGTTCAATAGAATCGGGACTTGCAGATCTTCGTTTTTCTTGTTATGTGGATCATCTCTCCAGAAGTCTTTTCCAAGGGCGCCCAAGCCAACGTGGGATCCTCGGAACCGTTTAGCGCATCAATGACTTTTTGGGTTGAAACATTCCTGAGCGTGCCATCTGTCAGGACAAGGTATCACCGCGTCGCGGACATGAGAAATAAGAGTTGATGGAAGCCGAGATGCCGAACCTTAGTGAACTGACAGAACCCTTAGGCAGGGTCTATCTCGAATTAGACGACCATATGATCACGACAAGCGCGAATCCCAACTACCGCTGAAGAAGAATGGTGATGATGGGGTCACAGCCGATCCGTCGTCATCAGAACCCCAGTTTCCACGAACCACTCAACAAGCAATAATATCGGGCAGAATCGGTGGTCATAGAGCCGTTGCTGAAACAAATATGCTGTTTTGGCGGTGTGTAATTTGATCGAGTATGGTGAGGGGCGGTTTTCCACGTGTGATCATACGAGCTTCCAAACAGGTCGGATTCCTCCGTGACGGCAATACCTTTTCGGTGCCGGCCATACCTCGCAACTGGATCGCCCTCAACCTGCCTCAACCCAGATCTGAGGAAAACGTTGCGACCCTTATGTCCCGATCTCTTCTGCTTCCGCTTTGGTTACAATGAAATGGTTTTTATTTCCCGGCATGGACAAATCTAGATTCATATTTTTGCGGCTGCGGGTAGGCTGTACTGGTACAAAACTATAAAGATGCGTTGTGTTATATGTCCAATAATCCTCGTACCCATCTCGAACATCCCTTTCCCTCTTTGGTTTGAGCGCAACTCTTCTGTGCTCCTGGATTGCTCTTCCGTTATGCCCTATTCCATTGGCCTCCAAGCTGCCGCTAACGCTTTCCTCTCCGCGGGCTTCGCCACTCAATTCACCTTTGGTGTCGTAATCTTCCTACTCATAGCCCTCATTACCTCCACAGTCCAAGCTGACGAGGCCGATTCACCTCCACCACTCCCTTGTTTCTCGATCTTTGCCATCTTACCATTCTTTCGACGACGCTATGACTTTCTGAACTGGGGCTTCCAAGCAACAGGACATTCTGCCTTTCAATTCCAGCTCTTACGCGTATGTATCTATCTATCGTTCTTATGTATCGTTCGTCATTTAATTGCCTGAACAGAACACTGTGATAGTCGTGTCAGGTGAAAGTGCGCGTCAAGCGTTCTTTACTGCAAAAGGCCTTGACCTAACAGAAGGCTTCAAAATACTTTCGGGGGCAGTGGGTCGGGTCTATAGTCTGATGTTATCATCGCTTTAAACTTTGTTCAGATTCCAATGGTCCGAGGAGTAACTTCCAATCTGGAGCCCCGGCGTATCGCCATGATTCATAAACGTCTA